ACAATATATTATTTAAGGTGTACACCTTAATAATATCCATTCGAAAACTCGAGAAATGCTAGACTTCAAGAGTTTAATTTTCACCATTTGATTTAATTTATGAAATATTGTTTGAATAAACAGTGAAAGTATCATGTGGAATGCTAGACTCCAATGACATTTCCTTGTCTAAATAACTAAAGGGCGTATTTTGAAACGAAAGGTCGAATGTCACTACCCAAGGCGTACGTCCCAATAGTGATTATTCAAGAACTCAAAAGATGTTGGACCTTAAAAGTTCTTTTTTTCGTGATTTATTTAAGAAAAAATAATTTTAATGTCAAAAATAAATTGAATTAGGACTAGGGAAGAAAAAAGCTTAATCAAATTTTGAAAATACATTTTAAAATAATCCATGACTTTGCTTAGAAAATAAATTGAATTGTTTTAAAAACTAATTCATTAAAATTTAAAAAGTGGTCTTACTTGAAGATAGTTATTGAGTTAAGAAATAGATGTAGAAATCAAATTGTAAACCAAAATCGGAGTATGTACGAGGGCGGTGCATGTGTGACGACAATATGAGCATAATATCTACATAATGATTCACACGTGGCGAAATACCGATTGATACGTTGATCTTTGGCCATGAGTTTTGTAGAAACCATGAGTTACAATTGTAACAAGTTATAGTCATAAAAAAAACGAGAATGCCCATGTTAAATGATAATCATTAAATGATAGCCAAAAAATATCTAACTAGCAAAAATAACACTTCATTATTTCACCAGCAAACTACAACCCAGGATCAACATAATTTAACTTTATCCACATGGTGCCAAAGCTAGACCGTACGGTTAATGCCATCACTTGAAAGAAATTCCTTGACACAAAGTGCACATCATGTTATCCAAAAACCAGCCATTCATGACAGAAGGTTATAGAAAGCTAATATGCATGACTTAGGCACACGGCTATACCAATGCATCAACTCAAAATACTTTAAACCTTAACAAACTAATGACAACAGGATTTATTACAGGAAAACATATGATTGCAGCACATTTATTTATCTTAATAATCTAGAAGTTTGACATATCTAAGCATTGTATTTAATACATTAATATGTAATCCAGAAGTTAGACATAACATGAACTAAGCACAACCACAACAATCCGGCATCAAAAGCATACAGAATGCACCCAAAACTCAAGAATAATACATTAACTTGTACATGACAGACACGGACCTGTAATGAATAGGCAAAGCAGAACACATAGAATTTGTGAAGGATACATTATACCGTAATTTGCAACCGAAATCAAACCGAAAAACATTAAGGACCGTGTCAAGTTGTCGTGACAAGCTTTGGTGAATTGGTGCCTTGAACTGTTGTTGTGCTGCTAAGGGGAGTCATGCAAAAGCCGGAAATGTAGAGTCGATGTTGGCTCCAAAGCCTGTTGTTCATGATGAACCTCAATGTGCAAGGTTTAGAAATCTGGCAGCTTGGTAAGACTGCTGCTATCGCGTGCGGTGTGTTTAGACGTAAACCGTGAACTGGATTCATGATCTGCACAAAAATTAACCGAAACAACAGGCCAAAACAAACATAGTAAACGCAAAAACTATAAAACATAATTGAATCGGAAATTCCGTTTGAGTAGCTGTCTATTCGATTCGAACTGCATCATTGAGGCTATGATGAATTACTGCCTTGAGCTATTACGGCGAAGTCGCAACCGTGTTGGTGTTGCCTATGAAATGAACCTATTGTCAGAGAAAAGGTCATAACATTGCTGCTTGCTTGCATTTAAGGACATCGTTTCTTGAAGGTCGAAGAACCAATGGCCACGTCTTCAACATGGAGCTGTTGCAGAGAGAACTAAATCGAGTATGGATCTTGGATTTGAGCTTAAACCTGCGTACAAACCAGTCACAGACAATAACAATTTCTTTGCAAACTTGAAATCGACAAAATGGAATGCAAGTTCTCCAGCTTATCTCTGTCTCCATCATTCCCACCTCACAACCTCGAAGTAAATCGAGACCACTAGCTGGTACAAGCCGCAATTCGTAAACGAAACTGTTCAATGCACATTCAGTAACAGGTTATTAGTATAAAAAAAACCTTTATGAAAAAGACACAAAACAAAATAAAATATAACACAATAAAACTTCACATCATCGGGATGTCAGTATGAAAAACCTCATGACGACAACATCATCACAAAACCTTATGAAAAAAACACCGTTGCCGATGTACGGTAACGGATCCGTTGAGCTCAAACCAGCTACTGAACGGGAAAAAAACTTGAATGCACCAAAGGATAAACTTCACTATTCTGCAAGCTGCTTCCGTTGTTGGTGAAGATCTCGTAAATGACGGGGTTGAGTTGTGAGTTGTATTCACGGCTACTTCTCGTACAAGACAAACACGTTCCTAAGTGTTGTGGGAACGTTTCGGAGCCGTGACTAGGTTGTTTCATGGTGGAGAAGTGAGCAAAACCATGGGTTTGTGTGCGTTGGACGAAGTGGAGCACGACAGTCGGAATGGTTGTTTGAAGATGATGGCTTGAGGGGTTTCGCATCGGTGATGATGATTAAGAGGAAAGGTCGGCGACGGTAGAGATTTGGGAGAGAAGAAGGTTTCGATTGAGGGATGGTAAAGGTGCGACGCCGTTTTGAAGAAGGAAGCGGTTAGGTTTTGGGTGGCGGCTGCTCTTGGGAGAGAAGAGGGAGCAGATAGCTTTAGGGTTTTTCTGTGTAGGGTTAGCGGCGGCGGGTTTGGGGAAATTGGGAGTAATGAACAGTAGAATTCAATTTAGGGTTTTTGAGTGAATTGGGGATCCGCCGTTTTGATGAACAGTATCCTTCCCTTTAGGTTTTCATTCAATCAATTCTCTCTTTTTAAACCGTGAGAATCTCTCCAATGGGTCTTCCTGATGGGCCTTTCTTGTTATTTTTAACTAATTAACTCTATTAACCACTAATTGATATTAACACATATAATAACTATAAAACAAAGTATTAACAAATACTAATTAAATAAATATTAAAAAAATATATATATAAATAAACTTCAAATTTATAAAAAACGAAAAATAATTATAAAAAAATGTTATTAGTAACCTTTAAAAAATGTTTAAGAAAATAATATTCACAAAATAACCTTAGGCCACGTGTCACGTCTTAATTGGTCATAAAGATAAATTTCTAAAAAAAAATCGACCAATTGCGAGCGGACACGTGTCTAAATAACAAGAAATAAGCAGACAACATAAAATAGAAAATAAAATCGAAAAGCAAAAATAATTGAAAATGGGTAGGACAACATAAAATAATTTCTCAATCTCATATTTCGTTGATGACATTTTGTCCACAGTCATCTCACTAGTTTGTTGTGAATAACTCCGCACTAGGAACAGATAAAACTATGATAAAGATTGAGTTTCTTGAACAAATACAAGAAACTCTTTTTAGGTTTACAAACGAGAGGGAGATGGAAGAGCAAGAACATGAATTGGTTAAAACCATTTTCTATTCACTTTTCCAATTAGAAAAAAAAGTTACAAGTGAATATCAACAACCAACGTTTAACTCTCACTTAACAACTTGAGAGAGCAGTCTATTTATAGACTACAAGTTAACTTAAACACTAAGTTAACTTAACCAACAAGCTAATTTAACCAACTGCATGCTAGAACAAGTTTCGACCTACAGCATGCACATCTTCAACTCTTGCATGCTTGAACTCACTTCAACTATAGCATGCACAACTTTGTCGAAACATGAAGCTATCTTTATCAAGACTAGAGTTCGATCCAAAATACCACAGAACTATTAGCCTTCTTAACCTTGATTGAGAGCTACTATTTTGATACACTAAAAACATCACATTATATAAAAATCAAAGTTAAATTTTGTGACACTCAAGACTCACAAAGGCGGAAAGTGTCGTCAATGCATAAGGCGTAGACAATGGGCATAGATAAGATACAAAGTTTTTTATAAATAAAAAAAAGTATAGATAATGAGCAACTCTTAAAAGTTTTTAGGAGAAAAAGAGACATGAATGAATTGAATTCATGTCAGAATGAAGGGATCCTGAAATCTTGATTATATGATATTTCATAATTTAAAAAAAGACTTATAAATTTTTTGGTTATCCGTACCCTAAAATTCTACAACTATGAACATTCTTTAAATGAGTGATTTTCAATTGATTTGTATATCGTCTGACATATTATAAGAGTAATTTAAAAAATACACACTAGGCTATCCAACTAATTGTCTCTTACAAAAAGACAAAATTCATGAAGGTACAAAATACACAATATATGGAAAAAGCAATGCACCATTAGGTTATAAGTTTGGACGATATTCAATACATTATAAAATTAATCAATAATTTCCATTTGTTTTAAGGCCTTCCCTTTGATATACTCATGTGAAATGATAATTCAATCATAAACATTCTTAGGGTGTATGGATCTAGCACTTTTATAAACCAATTGAATTGAGAAAATCTCATATGATTTTGGGTAGCAAGTAACTTTAAAAGGTAGCATAAATTCCATTTTAAAATAATCACAAGGGCTTCAACATAGTTTTGATATCTAGCTGTCTAGAGGTATTGCCTAACCATATGAACACTGACATGATTCACAAACAGTTACTACAACTTTCTTAACAGTGATTGATTTGATTTCACATCCATCTTACCTTAATGATTAGAAAGGTTCTTCCTTTTCTGCATTAATCTATATCATTTATCACCTTACAACTAATTCTGTTCTAACTTCTCATTCAATCTTCCCTACATTTTCAAGCAAAAAACAAAGCCATAAGTATTCACTCAATCAACTTTGATACACCACCTTAATCTTACACAATACAACCATTACCTTATTTTACATAACTAAACCTTTTTACCTACCTAGCATATATAAAAGCACCAATTCCTTTACATTTTTCATAAGCTACAATACAATCTAGCTTTCAATTACCATTAAGAAAACAAAATGAAGCAAATTTTCTTGCTCTCATTTCTAGTACTTTCCTCCATATTTTCAATCACCAGTTTAGCCCAATCACCAGCTGCAGCACCAATAGCACCAGCAAAACCATCCCCTACAAAACCAGCACCTTCAACACCTGCTCCAGCACCTGCAAAACCATTAGTCCCAGCATTACCACAATCCCCTACAACGAATCCCGATTCTTCAGGAAACCAAGACATTATCAAGATTCTAAGAAAAGCCAAATCATTCAACACGCTAATCCGTTTACTCAAAACAACACAGATCATCAACCAAGTCAATGCACAGCTAGTAACAACAAAAAACGGAGGCCTAACAATTCTTGCACCGGATGACGGTGCATTTTCACAGCTCAAAGCAGGTTACTTCAATTCCTTGGGAGAGAGGCAACAGAAAGAACTGATTCAGTATCACGTTCTTCCTGTTTATGTATCAAGCTCAAATTTCGATTCTCTCAGCAACCCCGTGTTGACACTCGCTAGCGATAGTCCACAAGGGTTTCAGATTAATGTGACAGCTTATGGTAACAGTGTGAATATTTCAACCGGTGTTCTTGATGCAACCATCACTGGAATTGTGTATACTGATAAAACACTTGCTATATATCATGTTGATAAGGTTCTTATTCCTTTGGATTTTGTTAAGCCTAAAGCTATAGCTCCTGCACCAGCTCTTGCTAAGGCACCTAAAGCTGATAAAGAGAATTCATCTGCAGATGATGATGATCAGACTCAGGGAACAAAGGATAGTTCTGATTCCATTAGTTTGATTCACATGCATGGTGTATCAGTGTTGGTTTCCATTGGAGTTTCACTTCTTGCAGCTGAAGTAACTACTATGTTGTGATGTTGAAGTTGAAGATCATTCTTTTGAAAAGTTCTTTCTATATTTGAAAACTGTTGTTTGTGACAATGTGAACCATTTTGTTCTGTTCTGTTCTTATTTTGTCATTAAAAATATTTATATGATTGTTTTATTGTCTAAGATAACAAAGAATATTTAATTCCTGTGCAATACGCTCTGTCTCTGCATTTATTATTTGCAATGTTCAAAATCATAGTATGAGTAACTGAGTAACATAGACAATTGCTGCTATAGTTAACAAACTAATAATTCAAAATAAGTATGGAATGCTGTAATATTTATATTAAGTTTGTTGCATTACTAAAATTGATGATTTTTCTTTTACAAACTAAAACTGCTGATTTGTAGTAATATATCGAAAATGTTTTGTGGATACAAATCTAAACATTGAACACTGTATTTTATCAAATCCACTGCGATTCTAACCAAACTCTAAATTTAAAAATCGAAACATATTCATTAACTATTCAATCTTCTACGTTTTAGGAGTAGTCATAGTTATTAAAAACACTAATTATGTGAAGATATCCTTGTTAAAATGAAAACCTAATACTACATATAAATAAAATTATACAATTTATTTACTTTAAAATCTTGTTAAATTAAAAAATAAGACTTAATTACACTTCTAATATCTACTCTATGGTCTACATAGACATGTGGTTGTAGTGTGTTTGAGATTCTAAGGAGCGTCAAAAGTGTGAATAGTTTAACAATACATATCCATATAAAATTATAAGACAAGAGGTGTATGTGTCAGTTTTCTTATATATCTAATATTTAATCACTTGCACTTAAATTTCAATTTAATGTATGAGTCTTTTCTCTTATATATCAAACATTTCCTCTTTCGCTCTCCATCGAGCCTAACCTGTCTCTGATACCACTTGTTGGAGAATCTAGGAAGTGTCAAAAGTGTCAATAGATTAAACGTTCAGGATCCAAGAGATCTTGACACATTATATCCACCTAAAACCTTAAGATAATAAGAATATGACCTTAAGATAATAAGAATATGTGTCTCCTCTCTTACATATCCAACATTTCCTCTGTCGGATGTTAGAAATTCACCAAAATCTATGGAGAATTCCGTTGCAATCTTGATAAACAAAATTTCATCACACTGATAGAATTTTGCTTGTTCTTCATTCTTCACTTGAGTTAACCAACCAACCTTGGTTGTAAGATTATTCTTGTTGCACAAATGTTAATGGAAGAAGAAAGAAAAGATGAAATTGGAGAAGAAAAGAAATTAGGGTTTAAGAAAAAAATAAGGCAAGAAGAAAAGATTTTGTATAGAGCTTCTCTATGCTTCTCAAACTAAGAAGTTTTACTCAATTGTGCAACTGCACTTATGTTGTATATTACAATTCATAATAGAGTTACTCCCTATTTATAGATCTGGGTTTGCTTGCTCCTCAAGCAAGGCCCAAAAATACCTAGTTCAGCTAACACTACAAAATTAGACCTAAGTCAAAATTCCTGTCGAGGTACACTCCTTCGATGTTTCGAGACTCACACAATTTCGACACTTTCTTTCTTCTGTCGAGCAACAAGTTTCGACACAAGGAATTACAATTCAACACACCACCTAGTTCAATGTGTCTAAGTTATCTACGTTCATCATAGACCTTAACTTCTTGAATACTTCAAACTGCACTCCTTTCGTCATGATATCTGCAATCTGATTCTCAGTTATGCAGTGTTCCAAGCCCAACTTTGCTTCTGTTACTTGCTCTCGAAGAAAATGGAACCTCATTTCAATGTGCTTACTTCGTCCATGCGCTATCTGATTCTTTTCCAAATTGATAGCAAACACGTTGTCGATCTTCATGGTGATTGCTCCATGATTCTTAATTGTAATCTCTTCGATCAAATTCACCATCCATGTTTCTTGACATGCATATAAGGAAACAACTACGTATTCGGCTTCTGTTTATTATGAAAATTAGTAAACAACCGTGGGTATTTCCAATTGAAAAAGAATTGGGTTACGTACAGGATCGACCATACAAATCCTAAGATATTTGCTAGTAATTCTTAATTTAAAGTATGGGAAGTGATGAATATTTCAACAAGACTCATAATCTAACAACTATCAACTTCAAAATTTAAAGGAAATAAAGTTCAGAAACTTAATCAAAGACAGTTAAATGCATTGAAAAATAACTTGAGAAATAAAAAGATAAACTTTGTGGTGAAAAGATGAAATTTGCATTAAAGTGTAAAAAGTATGGTGTTTGTCAAACGTACATTTTCTTCGACATACTCTTTTTCTCTACACGCGGATACTTTGAGTAATTTTAGAAACTTTGTACAATTTTGAACACCTCTGATCCTAACGCTAGGACCCTCTATTTATAATGATAAAAAATAATTGGCCCTAACGGTCTTAATATAAACAAATGACAAGTGACACTCGTCATGTCTCCTTTCCTTAAAAAAGCTCCACTCATCTCCTTCACAAGTCTGGATAAGAGCAAAAGTTCTCTCCTTTATTTGTATTAAAATCAAATATCGAAACAACATCATCATCTTCTGTCGAACCACCTTCTAAGACTTTAAAATATTTTTCTTCATATCTTATTCAACATATTCTCCTTACGCATAAAGGTAGCTTCGACTGGATATAAGTGTCCCACTTTGTCAAAATTTTCTCATAACTTTGAATTACTTTCTTTATTATTTCCATCAATTAATACCAAGAGTCGAAATTGGGAGCTAACAAATTGCCCCTCAAAAATGTCATTTTCGATAGCACTGAAGAAAAAGACATTTTTGATAACTTTATTCAACGCCTTAATTGATCCATGTGTGATTCAACATCTCTGATGAGTCACTGTTATAAATGGTTTACCTTCTAGGCACGCCTATGCCGTCATGGTCATGATTACCTTTTTTGAAACGTCCTCTCAAAACCCACGTGAGAATATTTTCCATCATCATGTATCCTAGACCCTAGGAGATCATAGGGCTAGGCATTAACTTCCACCGTTTTAATAAGGACAGAGGGTAGAACATGTGTCTCACTCCCATTTTAACCATAAATTCTGCTTTAGAACTGTTTCCGCTTCCACCCTTATAAATACTCCTTTTCCACTTCTTTTCCTCTTTTTACACTTTCTAAATCCCTAACTTCACAATCTTGTTCTCCTCCGAAAAATCCAGTTTAACTCCATTTCAACAATGGCTTCCTTAAACCGTTCCAACAAAAACGTGACCAAAGCCTCCAAGGAATCTGCTAAACCCGTGAAGGCCATTAACCCTGCCAACCAGAGCGTTCCTTCGATTGAAGAGGCCATTAACCTTAGGTATATGAACAACTTTAGGGTATTTCGGGCAAGCCCCTCCTTTAAGGATTCTTCTGATTATTTAGGATGGGTAGAAAAAATAGAGAAAACAAAATCCCAAACCTGGAAAGACATAGGTATTTATGGTTTAATAATGTTGTCGAAAGTAGGTCCAAACTATTGCTCGAACGTGCTTCTCTCTTCTTTGTATTTTTGGGATAGTACCCACTACACTCTCCATCTTCCTTGTGGAATGATGTCCCCCACCATTTTCGACGTAGTCGCTATAACAGGGTTTAAACCAATAAGCCATACATACGACCCTGACTATATGTCTGAGGATAGCATCAACTTTGCTACTTCTAGGGAAGCATATTCGAATCATATTGCACATTATCATGACAAAGATATCGAAGATGTATCTGATATAGAACATATAGCTTTCCTAGTGTTATGGTTATCCTGCTGTGTCTTTTTCTCGAAATCGCTTCAAGTAACCAGGAAGTTTTTAACCATGGCGAACAACCTCCATTCTAGCCACAATCTATGTTTAAGCGAAATGATCTTGGCTAACCTTTATGAATCCATGAGAGAAGGTGTCACCCAACTAAAAAACCTAGGGGATAAAGGAAACCTTCTCTTCTCTGGGACTTTCTGGCTTCTTTAATTGTGGTTGAATGCTTCATTTGAAGCTTGCCTTCCATACAACAACCAGATTGATGAAAATGCTGAAGAGGTGAAGAACAGAAGGGTCGAAGGACCACAATTGGAAAAATTAACTCCTAGCGATGATGGTCGGCCCATTCGACATACTTTTACTAGTTACATCATGATGTTCGCCAAACGCTACGACTTCTCTCTGAACATGGCCCATTTTGCTACAAGAAGATGTGCTCCTGAATGGTTCACCAGGCCATTCCCAGCTCTGACGAAAGCCCAAGAAGCAGAGTCTAGTGCAATCTGGGAAGCTTTTCTAACTCCTAGGATTTTAACCCTCGGGTTTAATCTTTCAAAAATTCTGGCAACCCTGATCACTTATCAGCCCAATCTTGTGGCTCGACAATTTGGATTAGTTCAAGTTCTGCCTAAACCCCTGTATAAGAAGAAAAACCTCTTCCTTTTTTACAATGCATCCCGTAATGTAGTTGCAACCGTCAAAAAAATTGCTCGATATGTCAGTCGAACACAACTTCTACCTGTTGCTTTCAAACCAAGCTTCCTTTGTACCCAACAATTCGATAAGTGGTGGAAAGCCTACTTCACTGAAGAATTTTTTGACGTGACTGCTTTTACACATCATATTAACAAGGCTTTCCTCTCTACACAGGAAAAAGTCAAGAAAGTTATTTTAACACACATCAAGGAAATCCAAGCATTTCAGAAATACTTTGAAACTGCTTATAGACCTGGTGATATTGGTCAAACTGTCTGTAACGTAGCTGTTACTTTAAAAGATGTTTTTTTAAATGGAGAATTTAAAGATCCCTTCGTGCGTTCCTCCCCAAAAATGTTACAAAACGACTTTTAACATGTATCCTCCTAAATTCCCCCGATTACCCAGTGCTGACTTTGGGGTGGCTTTTAGCCCTCCATTCCCAGACTGGTTTGTCTGTGGTGACTTTGTAAAAATCCTCCGACAAGAATCACAAAAGCATGCTCAGAGAGTGGTTGCGACTAAGTATACATTATACA